ATCCTGTTCTGGAGGTCATGTTACTTGATCATGACGAACCTACGAACTATGAGGAAGCGATGATGAGCCCAGATTCCGCGAAATGGTTTGAGGCCATGAAATCTGAGATATGATCCATGTATGAGAACAAAGTTTGGACTTTGGTTGACTTGCCCGATGATCGTCAAGCAATTGAGAATAAATGGATCTTCAAGAGGAAGACGGACACTGATAGTAGTGTTACTATCTACAAAGCTAGAATTGTCGCAAAAGGTTTTCGACAAGTTCAAGGTGTTGACTACGATGAGAGCTTCTCACTCGTATCTATGCTTGAGTCTGTCCGAATCATGTTAGTAATTGCCGCATTTTAAGAAATTTGGCAAATGGATAAACAAAATTGCATTCCTTAATGAATTTATTAAAGAAGAGTTGTATATGATGCAACTAGAAGGTTTTGTCAATCCGAAAGGTGCTAACAAAATGTGCAAGCTCCAGCGATCCATCCGTGGACTGGTGCAAGCATCTCGGAGTTGGAATATACGGTTTGATGAGTTGATCAAAGCATATAGTTTTATACAGACTTGCGATGAAGCCTGTATTTACAAGAAAGTGAGTGGGAGCACTACATCATTTCTGATAAGTATATGTGAATGACATGTTGTTGATCAGAAATAATGTAGAATTATTCTGTAAAGCATAAAGGAGTGTTTGAAAGGAGTTTTTCAAAGAAAGACTTCAGTGAAGCTGCTTACATATTGAGCTTCAAACTCTATAGAGATAGATCAAGACGCTTGATAAGTTTTTTCAATGAGTACATACCTTGACAAGATTTTGAAGTAGTTCAAAATGGAGCAGTCAAAGAAAGAGTTCTTGCCTGTATTACAAGGTGTGAAGTTGAGTAAGACTCAAAGCCCGACCACGGCAGAAGATAGAAAGAGAATGAAATTCATTCCCTATGCCTTGGCCATAGGTTCTATAAAGTATGTCATGCTGTGTACCAGATCTATTGTATACCCTGCACTGATTTGGCAAGGGAGTACAAAGTGATCTAGGAGTAGATCACTGGACAGCGGTCAGAATTATCCTTAGTGAAATAAGGATATGTTTCTCGATTATGGACGTGACAAAAAGGTTCATCGTAAAGGGTTACGTCGATGCAAGTTTTTGACACTGATCCAGATGATTCTAAATCACAATCTGGATACATATTGAAAGTGGGAGCAATTAGCTAGAGTAGCTCCGTGCAGAGCATTGTAGACATAGAATTTTGCAAAATACATACGGATCTGAATTTGGCAGGCCCGTTGACTAAATTTCTCTCACAAGCAAAACATGATCACTCTTTGGGTGTTAATCACATAGCAATGTGAACTAGATTATTGAATCTAGTAAACCCTTTGGGTGTTAGTCACATGGAGATGTGAACCAATCACATAAAGATGTGAACTATTGGTGTTAATCACATAGCGATGTGAACTAGATTATTGACTCTAGTGCAAGTGGGAGACTGAAGGAAATATGCCCTAGAGGCAATAATAAAGTTATTATTTATTTCCTTATCTCATGATAAATTTTTATTATTCATGCTAGAATTGTATTAACCGGAAACATAATACATGTGTGAATATATAAACAAACAGAGTGTCACTAGTATGCCTCTACTTGACTAGCTCGTTAATCAAAGATGGTTATGTTTCCTAACCATGAACAAAGAGTTGTTATTTGATTAACGAGGTCACATCATTAGTTGAATGATCTGATTGACATGACCCATTCCATTAGCTTAGCACCCGATCGTTTAGTATGTTGATATTGCTTTCTTCATGACTTATACATGTTCCTATGACTATGAGATTATGCAACTCCCGTTTGCCAGAGGAACACTTTGTGTGCTACCAAACGTCACAACGTAACTGGGTGATTATAAAGGAGCTCTACAGGTGTCTCCAAAGGTACATGTTGGGTTGGCGTATTTTGAGATTAGGATTTGTCACTCCGATTGTCGGAGAGGTATCTCTGGGCCCTCTCGGTAATGCACATCACTTAAGCCTTGCAAGCATTGCAACTAATGAATTAGTTGCAGGATGATGTATTACAGAACGAGTAAAGAGACTTGCCGGTAACGAGATTGAACTAGGTATGGGATACCGACGATCGAATCTCGGGCAAGTAACATACCGATGTCAAAGGGAACAACATATGTTGTTATGCGGTCTAACCGATAAAAGATCTTCGTAGAATATGTAGGAGCCAATATGAGCATCCAGGTTCCGCTATTGGTTATTGACCGGAGACGTGTCTCGGTCATGTCTACATTGTTCTCGAACCCGTAGGGTCCGCACGCTTAAGGTTACGATGACAGTTATATTATGAGTTTATACATTTTGATGTACCGAAGGTTGTTCGGAGTCCCGGATGTGATCACGGACATGACGAGGAGTCTCGAAATGGTTGAGACATAAAGATTGATATATTGGAAGCCTATATTTGGATATCGGAAGTGTTCCGGGTGAAATCGGGATTTTACCGGAGTACCGGGAGGTTACCGAACCCCCCGGGAGCTATATGGGCCTAAGTGGGCCTTAGTGGAAAAGAGAAGGGGCAGCCCAAGATGGGCCGCGCGCCCCTCCCCTCCCTTGGTCCGAATAGGACAAGGAGAGGGGGCCGGGCCCCCTCTCTCTCTTTTCCCCCCTCCGCGAATCCTATTCCAACTAGGATTGGGGGGGGGGGGATCCTACTCCCAGAGGGAGTAGGACTCCTCCTGGCGCGCCTCTCCTAGGCCGGCCGCACCCCCCTTGAGCCTTTATATACGGAGGCAGGGGCACCCCAGAGAAACACAGGTTGATCCACGTGATCATATTCTTAGCCGTGTGCGGTGCCCCCTTCCACCATAGTCCTCGATAATATTGTAGCAGTGCTTAGGCAAAGCCCTGCTGCAGTAGTACATCAAGAACGTCACCACGCCGTCGTGCTGACGGAACTCTTCCCCAACACTTTGCTGGATCGGAGTCCGGGGATCGTCATCGAGCTGAACGTGTGCTAGAACTCGGAGGTGCCGTAGTTTCGGTGCTTGATCGGTCGGGCCGTGAAGACGTACGACTACATCAACCAAACGCTTCCGTTGTCGATCTACAAGGGTACGTAGATCATACTCTCCCCTCTCGTTGCTATGCATCACCATGATCTTGCGTGAGCGTAGGAAAATTTTGAAATTACTACGAAACCCAACAGGCGCCCCACCCCTTCATGAACTGTCTGCCTCGTTTGGCGCAGGCGTGCCAAGAGTCGACAGCGAAGGAAGGGCGAGGAGGAGACTGCGAGAGGGCGCGAGTCTCCAACCAGCGAGCACTGACCGCGTCGACGAAGCCAGCTTGGGACAGCCAAAATGTCTCAAACCAGAATGGGGGGGAACGGTGGGCGCTCATCGGCGGAGGAGAGGAGGAGGGGGACGTGATTGGAGCCAATCCGGGTGATGGCCCGGAGGGAAGCAAGGGAGCAACGAAGGTCCCATTCCGGAGAAACTATGACCCGGTCCAGGACGGACTGGGTCGGGGCTGCCTGGCGGTTGGTCCAGGTGAACCTGACACCAACCCGGTCAATCTCACGAAGGCCAAGATCAGCAATGCAATCGTTGAACATTTGCATCAGAGCAAAGTTGACGTTAGCATTGCTCTTGTCCTCCGCGAACCTAAGGAGATTAAAGTCACCCCTCACCACAACCGGCAGAGATGCAGCCGACACCTTCCGGTTGAGCTCCTCGAGGAAGGAGGTGAATCGGCTGTGGTTGGCGGGGCCGTAGACAATAATGACCTCCCACTTGAAGTTAATGGAGCGCTCAAAAATCTCCATGCTAACAAAGAACTGGCCCCGGTCCATACTGCCCACCTCGAAGGTGGCATCCTTCACACCTAGCAGGATGCCACCGGAATGGCCCGCGGTCCCACTAGAAGGGAGCCAATGCCAGGCGAAAAGGCGGGAGCTAAGGCGGTCAAACTCCGGGAGGGAGAAATCTGTACACATGGTCTCCTGGATGGCCACAATATCAATGTGTTCGTCCCGAATGTACTCGATGAGTTGGCGGTGGCGGCCGTCATAGCCGAAACCGCGGGGTGTATGTTAAACGCTAGGGTGTATGATGTCTTTATCGGCGGCCTTAGGGGTGAAGTGCTAAAGCTTTACTTTTTAGCATGTGTGATGTCTTTATCGCACACAGTTCGACGCTAGGGTGTATGTTAGATGTGTTTTAATAACACCATTCTGCATTAGTGCATTAGTGACGTCTCCTTCTTTTCGATGAATATAGCAGCTCTCATGTTATCATGCATTGAGGAACCTTTTCTCTTTTAAAAAAAAACGCTATTGAGGAACTTTTTTTTTTTTGAGGTAATTGAGGAACTTTTTTTGGTTATCTAGAAACCGGCTTTAGGGGTGAAGTGCTCCGGAGTACAGGACTACGATAGTTTGATTAGGGGGTTAAGTAAGCTGAAAAGAATTTAGAGAGTTTAGTACACAAAGCCAACAACTCCTGACTGAGGAGAGTAAAGTGAGAGTACGGGCATGCTGATTCATGCGCACGCACCTTGGCAACACTATGTCGTTCTCCGGTACCTTTCAATCCAGCTGGTTTTCTTCCGTGGCATGGAGCCACATCTTCGCTTCTACTAACTGTAAGCGTACACGTTTTCCCTAAACATGTCACTCCATGCCAATACAGATATATACTGCTTGCATTATACTGTATCTAGCAGGTGAGTTTTTGTCGGTTGTATTTGCTCCGTCAGAACTCGGAAAATTGTTCTTGCCGCGGTGCGGTGCGGTACGACCAGACGGAATAAAAGTGCACCACCGTACGTGCGGCGGCTTCCAGTTGCAGTATTTGACCATGCCACCCAACTGGCAGCCGATGGTTACGAGCAATAGCGACTAGCTAGCGCCTAGCAGTCCCTATATAACCCCCCGCCGGGCAAGCATCTGAACGACACGAAAAAGCTGTCTAGGTGCACGTAGGGTTGGCTTACACGATGGCCGCGGCAGTCACTCGCCGAGCCAACGCCCTCCGCGTCGAGGCCCCGGACGGCAACGCCGAGAGCGGGCGCGCCAGCCTAGCAGCAGACTCCCCCGCCGCCAAGCGGGCTGCCGACGCCAAGGACGACGTGTGGGTGGCCGCGGACGAGGGAGACACGTCGGGAGCCATCGCCGGCGACGGCAACCGACCGCCGCTGTTCCGGACCTTCAAGGTCAAGGGAAGCATCCTGCATCCTTACAGGTCCGTCCGCGCTGCGCGCCATTCTAGCCTGCCTGCATGCATGCATGCTGTTCTCGTACGTACGTACCGCTACGCTTCTGAAATCTGAATACGGCTGTCGTTCTGTACCAGGTTCATGATCCTCGTCCGCTTGGTCGCCATCGTCGCTTTCTTCGCGTGGCGCGTGAAGCACAAGAACCATGACGGCGTGTGGCTGTGGGCCACGTCCATGGTCGCCGACGTCTGGTTCGGCTTCTCGTGGCTCCTCAACCAGCTGCCCAAGCTCAACCCCGTCAAGCGCGTCCCCGACCTGGCCGCCCTCGCGGACCACTCCGGCGACGCCAACCTGCCGGGCATCGACATCTTCGTCACCACCGTCGACCCCGTCGATGAACCCCTCTTGTACACCGTCAACACCATCCTCTCCATCCTCGCCACCGACTACCCCGTCGACAAGTACGCCTGCTACCTCTCGGACGACGGCGGCACGCTGGTGCACTACGAGGCGATGATCGAAGTTGCCAATTTCGCTGTGCTGTGGGTTCCTTTTTGTCGGAAGTACTGTGTAGAGCCAAGATCCCCCGAGAACTATTTTGGGATGAAAACGCAGCAGTACGCCGGGAGTATGGCCGGAGAGTTCATGAGGGATCATAGGCGTGTGCGCAGAGAGTATGATGAGTTCAAGGTGAGGGTAGACTCCCTTTCCACCACCATCCGCCAACGATCTGATGCGTATAACTCGAGCAAAAAGGGAGATGGTGTACGTGCAACCTGGATGGCTGATGGGACACAATGGCCTGGTACATGGATCGAGCAGGTTGACAACCACCGGAGAGGACAACATGCTGGAATTGTTCAGGTAAGAGTTGTGAGTTGCACCTTTCGATTAGTCAATTCCTCTTAATTTATGAGTCTAGTGAGAGATCTCTGTCTTAAAGCTCAGTCGACGAAATTTGTTCGTTGGATAGTGATTTGGCGGCTTAAAAGGAAAAGGAAAGGAGACCAATTTCTCAAATTTATTGGATTAACGTGTTTTTCTCACAGGTGATACTAGGCCATCCAAGTTGTAAACCACAACTGGGATCGCCGGCGAGCGCCGACAATCCACTCGACTTCAGCAACGTTGACACGAGGCTCCCCATGCTCGTATACATGTCCCGGGAGAAGCGACCCGGTTATAACCACCAAAAGAAGGCAGGCGCCATGAACGTGATGCTCCGTGTCTCGGCGTTGCTCTCCAACGCGCCCTTCGTCGTCAACTTTGACGGCGACCACTACATCAACAACTCGCAAGCTCTCCATGCCCCTATGTGCTTCATGCTCGACCCTCGCGACGGTCAGAACACGGCCTTTGTCCAGTTTCCTCAGCGCTTCGACGACGTCGACCCGACGGACCGCTACGCCAATCACAACCGTGTCTTCTTCGACGGCACCATGCTCTCCCTCAACGGCCTCCAAGGGCCTTCCTACCTTGGCACCGGCACCATGTTCCGCCGTGTCGCGCTCTATGGCATGGAGCCACCACGTTACAGAGCGGAGAACATCAAGCTTGCAGGTAAGGTCAATGAGTTCGGTAGCTCGACGTCGTTCATAAACTCGATGCCGGATGGGGCAATCCAGGAGCGGTCTATCACGCCGGTGTTGGTCGACGAGGCACTCAGCAATGACCTGGCTACCCTGATGACGTGCGCCTACGAGGATGGAAGTTCATGGGGGAGAGACGTCGGGTGGGTGTACAACATCGCGACGGAGGACGTGGTGACCGGATTCCGCATGCACCGGCAAGGGTGGCGCTCCATGTATTGCTCCATGGAGCCGGCCGCCTTCCGCGGAACGGCTCCGATTAACCTCACCGAGCGCCTCTACCAGGTGCTCCGGTGGTCGGGCGGCTCCCTCGAGATGTTCTTCTCCCACAGCAATGCTCTCATGGCCGGTCGCCGGCTCCACCCTCTCCAGCGCATCGCCTACCTCAACATGTCGACCTACCCGATCGTCACGGTGTTCATCCTGGCCTACAACCTCTTCCCCGTCCTCTGGCTCTTCTCAGAGCAGTTCTACATCCAGAGGCCGTTCGGCACGTACATCATGTACCTCGTCGCCGTCATATCCATCATTCACGTGATCGGCATGTTCGAGGTGAAATGGGCGGGGATCACGCTGCTCGACTGGTGCCGCAACGAGCAGTTCTACATGATCGGGGCCACGGGCGTGTACCCGACGGCGGTGCTTTACATGGCGCTCAAGCTCGTCACCGGGAAGGGGATATACTTCAGGCTCACGTCCAAGCAGACGGACGCCTGCTCCAATGACAAGTTCGCCGACCTGTACACCGTGCGGTGGGTGCCGCTGCTGCTCCCGACCATCGTGGTGCTCGTCGTGAACGTCGCGGCCGTCGGGGCAGCGATAGGCAAGGCGGCGGCATGGGGGTTCTTCACGGACCAGGCGCGGCACGTGCTGCTCGGGATGCTGTTCAACGTGTGGATCATCGTGCTCCTCTACCCGTTTGCGCTCGGGATCATGGGGAAATGGGGGAAGAGGCCCGTCATCCTGTTCGTCATGTTGGTCATGGCCATTGGCGCCGTCGCGCTCGTGTATGTCACCTTCCATGCTCCGTACCCAGCTGATTTTTCAGAAGCTGCAGCTTCTCTTGGTGAAGCATCGGTGACCGGACCATCTGGGTAGACACGTACGGCTCATTCTTTTTACAAGTACAGTCACAGTCACTACTGCAATAATTTGAGTGTGTGTATTCGTGTCTATATAGCATGAGAACTGGTCATTGTGTGCCACTCCTCTACTTATAGAGATGTACCTATCTTTTCTTCAAAAAAATTGAAGTGCAGCTTGTGCTCTCTTCGTGTAAGAACAACTCTAGCAAACTTGAGACCATCAGTATAATTGTCGGAATTAAGGTGAACGATGACATTGGCCACTACTTCCAGACGCATAAGGGGTTGAGACAAGGGGATTCCATGTCACCTCTTCTGTTCAATATTGTAGCAGATATGTTGGCCGTAATTATTGGCAGGGCCAAGCAGAATGGTCATGTAGAGGGTCTAGTTCCTCATCTAGTTGATGGAGGGGTGTCCATTCTACAATATGCCGATGACACTATTCTGTTCATGAAACATGACATGGCTAAGGCACGTAACATGAAACTTATCTTGTGTCTATTCGAACAATTGTCTGGCTTAAACATCAATTTTCATAAGAGCGAGGTGTTCTGTTTTGGGAAGGCCAAAGACAAAGAACATACATACAGACAATTGTTTGGATGCGAATTAGGTGCCTTACCTTTCAGTTACTTGGGCATTCCGATTCATCACCGTAAGCTATCCAATAAAGAATGGAAATGTATTGAAGAACGAATTGAAAAAACACTCAGCTGCTGGAAGGGCAAGCTGATGTCTTATGGAGGTCGGCTAGTTTTGATTAACTCAGTATGGACTAGCATGCCAATGTTTTTACTTTCGTTCTTCAAAATTCCAAAAGGGGGCCGAAAGCGACTTGATTTCTTTAGATCTCGTTTCTTTTGGCAGTCTGATGAGGCCAAGAGGAAATACCGTCTCGCGCGATGGGATATCCTTTGTCGACCTAAAGACCAAGGGGGGCTCGGTGTTGAGAACTTGGAAATTAAGAATAAATGTCTTATGAGCAAATGGTTGTATAGGTTAGAGACAGAGCCGGATGGCATGTGGTCTCAAATCCCGCACAATAAGTATTTGCATTTGAAAACGCTAGCCCAGGTTACCATCAGACCGACTGATTCGCCGTTGTGGAAGGGACTTATGAGAACGAAGGATATGTTCTTTCGTAGGGTCAAATTCTTGGTTGGCAACAGGATGTCAACAAGATTTTGGGAGGATACGTGGTTAGGAGAGACGCCTCTGGCCTTACAATATCCCACCCTCTACAATATTGTGCAACGTAAGGAGGATTACGTAGGTATCGTCCTTCAAACTATTCCCTTGAACGTCCAGTTCAGACGTACGTTAGTGGGTGAGAGATGGACAGCCTGGATGCACTTGGTTCGGAGATTGATTGAAGTTTGACTCTCCGACATGCCGGACTCAACACAATGGAGGTTAATTAAAAATGAGATATTTACGGTGAAATCTTTTTATACGGATCTGATCAATTCTGCCCCCCTCTCAAGGTCACTACATATATGGAAGGTTAAGGTTCCTTTGCGGATTAAATTTTTTATGTGGTTTGTCCACAAGCAAGTAATACTCACAAAGGACAACTTACTTAAGAGGCGATGGGTAAGCAATTCGCGGTGTTGTTTTTGTGCTCAAGATGAGACAATACAACATTTATTCCTTAAATGCCCACTTGCCAAGTTACTTTGGAGAACCGTTCATATAGCTTTTAATATCAACCCTCCAGTAGATATTGTGTCTTTAATGATAAAATATCTTCTCCTATGCAGGTTATTTACTGTTGTACGCACTGACTTCGTATGTGGTCTACTCTGCACCGAACGGAGTACCAATCGCTGCTCAAGGCGGTGTGTATGCGGTTGGAGCGGGTGGCCAGGGAGGTTTTTACCCAACATGGGTGGCAACATAATTTCCGAATTGATCCACCTTCTCCGTCGACATAGGCATAGTTTCGGCCCCATATGGCTTTACTGTTGCCACTTTGTCGTTTTTATATTTTTTTTGTCAGACTGTTTGTTTCATGGCTGTGTGCATCTTAGCTATGCAGAGGCCGAGTGTCGCTCTTTATGTTTTGTATCCTCTCGATGCTACATTTTGAGTTAATAAAAGCGCCCTTTATCGAAAAAAGTAGATATTGTGTCTTTGTTTGGGACGTGGTTAGCTGGGGTTGAACAGATCACGGCAGCTCGTATTCGGATTGGAATATGTGCGTTATTATGGGCTATATGGAACTGTAAAATGATATGATTTTTAACAGACAACACAAATTAACTTTTTTGCGGGTTATCTTCAGAGCTACAGCTTGGATCCGTACGTGGTCCTTACTCACTCCTATGGACTCCAGAGAGCCTTTGGTTACTGGGTGCAACCAATGGGAGATGGTGACTCGGGTTATATTCAACCGGTTCGGATGGCGTTCGCATAACAGGATAGGAGTCTAGAGATCTTATCCTTATTATTGCCGTATCGGTTGTTTTTGTCCGCTTGTAATTTTCCAGTTTATGTACTTTGTTTTGCTCCGTTTGTGAGCTGTAAGACCTTTACGATGATGCTTTCTGGATTTTTAATAAAAGGGCCGCATGCATCATCATGATGCAGAGGCCGGGGGTATACCTCCATTTCTAAAAAGAAATCAGTATAATTGTATGTATTTTTTTTCATGGCTGGAATGTTAGAACTAATCCGAGGCGCGTAATCAATCTACCGAGGACCAATCAATCACACGAGGCACAACATAACATTTGTTAATGAGATTCACCAACATGGCTACATCTCTGGGTCTGACTATGGACACTCCTCCCCATGATACTGCTACAATGCCAAACACCAGCCCCAGACGTTGGCACAAGCCGTCGGCTTCCCCCTGCGTACATGTGCTATTATGTTGTAATAGGTTACATAGATATTCTTCACCTTGGTAGATATTCTCTACCCCTTAGAATTTATTCATGCGTCGAACCTCCATGTATATTAGACTTGAGATTATACGACGAGCACCGCTACTACTCCCAGGCTCCACATGATTCCACCTACAATTGTAGTCCCTTCTCTTCTTCATAATCAATACTCGAGCAAAATTAAGTCACTTCTTTACTCTAGTTTGCGCTACCAACTTCCACAGTATCCGTTCAATGTCATCACATATCGATCACTGCCTGCGTGAAAGTGAACAACTCAAATATTAGACACCATATATAAGAGTTGCCCCAACTCATTATCCTAACTCTTTCCTCACTGATGTATGAAATTTAAAATAATTTCACCATCGCCCAGCTATCACCTTAGTCAAATTCACAGGTGTCTCACTTTTTTTCCGAATAGTTTCTTACATGTCCCACACCTATAGCACTCCGCCTTCTTATGTACTTGTCATCTGCACTTTGCCATGTGCACTGAACACCACAGAATAAACGGCCATGTGCTCTCTCAGCTTTTGACAAATTCATACTTTCCATCACTTTTCTCAGATTATGCATGGTTAACCCTCATCTATCTCCCGGTATCAATAGATCCTATCACCAACTTGAACCTGATACTGCCAACACAGCTTCAACACCCTTTCCACACTTTGTCTGACCATATGTCTGACTGCCTTGCTGCTATGACCACATCAAGCCTCTGTTATCCCGATCGAGCCCTGGATAGGTAGCCCACACCGCCTCAACCCCTACTACAAAGAACCACCGATCATCACCGTCCGATGTAGAGTAACACTTTTCCTTCAGACCATTGGGTCCCAGTCTGAACCACGTGTCTCTCGCTTTTTCCGCTGATAGGCTTCAATTTTCGGATCCTTACATAGTAACCCCTCTATCAGCATCGAGTGAAGTCTTCCACCAGACTCCTGCTCCACCCTTAACATGACTCCATGTAGCTGGCCATGCTACCCCACGCCCCATCGATTTCAAGCTCTCTCTCATGTGTACACTGCCTGGAATCAACCCTACACCATAGTCTTGTAGAAGCCCACAAGTCCTCAGACCTACACCATGTGTTTCCATGCTGAGAAGTCAGCCACCATCAGCATCATGCTCATGTGTCATCGTCACTGAAATCATTACCGTCTTCTACACCAACCGTGTTGGAAATATGCCTTAGAGGCAATAATAAATGCTACTGTTTATTTCCATGTTCATAATCATGTTTATATTCTATGCTATAGTTGCAATGGTCCTTGAGCCTGTATATCCATAAAGGCTCAGAGGAAAACCCATGTGCATGTGTGGAACAATAAATGGTAAAATGTATTCCTGGTCGTGCCTCTAAGACTAGCTGAAGTGTTGCATGATGGTTATGTTTTCCTGATCATGGACATGAGTATGCTGGTAACTTTAATGACACGGTGTTAGAAGAACATTTGTGTTGAACCGTCCCAATTGTTGTTATGCCATGAGATACGTTTTTCATAAGTTAATGGTTGTAACACAGAGAAAGTTAGATGTTTGCACAATTTCTTAGACCATGAGAGTACCGAGTTCCTTTACGGAAATCCAACTCGGTGCCTAGGCTCATCTGCTCCCGCTCAGAAACAAAATGAAAACAAATACTAGAAAAATTCAAAAAAACATCCAATTGTTTGTGTGGTAGATAATTTGATGCTTGAGGTCCGCTCCAAATTTCAACTCATTTGGACATCTAAGCAGCTCTCGGCAAAATAAATAAATTCAGGATCTATAAAAAGGTTTACCGTTCACACACTGTTCTAGCCAATTTGTCTTTTTGCCGAGAGCTGCTCAAATGTCCAAATGAGTTGAAATTTGAAGCGGACCTCACGCATCAAATTATCTACCACACAAAGAATTGGATTTTTTTTGAATATTTATAGTATTTGTTTTGATTTTTTTCTGAGCGCGGGTGCAGATGAGCCCGGGACCAGAAACTCTGCGTCCTTTCCTTCATACTTACTTCATGAACTTTGGGAATCGTTAAATGTCATCTGTCCACGGTTCCGCTATTGATCATTGATCAAAAAGTGTTTAGGACATGTCAATATTTCAGCGAACCTATAGAGTCACATGCTTAAGGGTCATCTATCTACTGAGTACTAGGAGGTTAGTAGCTTGAGAGAAAGTCACTGGAAAAGTTTCGGAGACGATGGAAATGTTTCAGAGAGAAAACCGAAAGTGCTTCGTAGTAACCGAAAAAGTTCCGGGGAAAACCAAAAATACCATCAAGTCGGATATGTTTTGGAGTGCGTCCGAATTTTTTCGAATGGTTCCAAAAATACTCAAGGACGTCCCAGAATTTTTCGGACAACCCCAGGGGCAGCAAACACAAAGAACATCATGTTGGGAGGGGTTTCCCTGGGGAGACAACCTCCCTGTTTTGCTGGATGGTGTTGGAGGGGCGCCCCTTTGGGGTGTTGTGTTGAGGGACAGCAACCCCATATGCTGAGAGTGTTGGGAGGTGGCCCCCCCTTGGGGAAGCCACCTCCACCCATTTTAGCCAAGGTAAGGGGGCATCGAGGACATGCCCTCCTTTAGGGATGATGTTGGTGAGGGAGGGGCATCACGCAGAGGTAGCGTATGTATGTATCACACCCCATGTTGATTGCAATGCACTCATATTTGGCATCGTGCGAGTGTTGGTGGCGAGGTGCTTAGTTATAGGCTACCAGGGCAGCGCATTGTTGTCGCTCTCCGACGGTTACTGTCGACGGCGTTCCTCACATATGTGTAGATGTAGGCATGATGTCGTCCCTTTTGCATTTCTTACCTTCCATGACCAGGGAGCTGCAGGCGATGATATGCGTCGCCCATAGCGACCGCGAGGCTCTCGCCGCCCCGGTCGCCTAACAGCAGTCTCCCGCTAATGGGTCGGCCTAGCAGCATCGTTTTTACCCTAGGTGTTTTTTACTTAGTTCCTCTTTTAAACTAGGTCAGTTTTAATTTAAAAATCTCATGAAATTGTAAAATTTTCTCGAATTAAAAAATCCTGCATTAAAACAATGTTTTCAAATTAGAAAAAAACATTCATAAAAAATGTTCTCCAATTCACAAAACAATCTTGTTTCTAAAAATGTTCAAGAAATTCAGAAAACGTTGGCAAAATTCAGTAAAAAGTCTCGAATTCAACAAAATGTTCAAGGACTCGAAAAAATGTTCACAAAGAATTTTTTAAATTTTTATCAATTTTAAATTTTGTGGTAATTATTTGAAATTGTGAACAAAATTTAGAAAATACCAAACATTTATTCAAAAATGAAAATATATTTTGAAATTTTATACAGACTTTGAAATTATGAAAACAACATGAACAATATTTTAATGTTTGAACAAATTTGGAATAGGGAATATTTTTTGAAATTTTGAAATGTGATTTCTTTTGAAATTTTCTGAATATTTGTGAATATGTGACAACATTGAAAAACAGGAACAGGCTGAAATTTAGAAGAAAATTTTAAGTTTGACCTTTTAAAAAAATCAAACGTTCTTTAACATGTTCCAAACATCATCTTTTTAATACGTGAAGAAATTTTGAGAACGGGAGAATTTTTGAAATCTCTAATACATTCTAAAATGCGGACACTTCCTGAATATGTGAACAAATTTTGAAAAACAGATAAAACTGAAATTCCAACTTTTTTAAAAAAATGTGTTTTTTTAAATCGGGAACAACCTAGGAAAGAAAAAGGAAAAAGAATGAGTAAAAAAAGAAGAAAAAAGAGGGGTTCCCCCTAGGGGACAGCCTCCCCCATTTTTGAATGTGCGAGGTTCTATCCGAAGGACTGGTCAAGGGAGAAAATCCTCGCGGTTGGGAGGTTGTAAATTCTTAGCTGTTGGGATTTGCACGAACAATCTTGACCAATTCTACTTTCTTTGTGCTACGAGTTGGTAACGATCAGATCAAACCTTGTATGCATCTTCATAATGGTCCTAGGCTGATGCGTAGGATGAAATATTTTTGGTT